TTGACGATTCTTCTCTGCATCAGCAAGGGCTATTTGATACTCTTCTGTAGATATAGAGGAGTCTTCTATTCTGGGTCATTTTTTGGAGCTACCTTCACCTTCATATTCGTTTAATTGACGGGCCAATTCCCTTTTCCTTTCTATCAAGAAGTATATTTCCATTTTTTTGTCTTCAAGATTTTGACGAAGGTCCCTATAAAAGGACATTTCCTTTTCAAAAGGCAACATAAGAGATTTGACTCTTTATTTTAACCAATCCACGTAAGGATCAAAATCTAATACCTCTTTTAACCCAAAGAATTCTTTTCTTTTCCTACCAATTTGAGCCCAAAGGGTTTCCGTTTTCCTCAATAATTCAAGATCTACCCCCTTTTGCAATACACAGGTTCGACCTCTTTGGCTGTGGATGGGTGCCTCGTAGAATAACCTAATTGGCGAAGAGCGAGTACCGGGTTATAGTTGATAATCCCCTTTGTTCCTATGAGTGGAACATTAGAGAAACATGCACAGTTAGAGATGACCTCGATGTTATCAACCTTAACTTTGTACCACTGAATATCGAAAGAGGTGAGTGTCATTACTTTGGATGCCTATGAATGAATATCTTCTTTGAATGGCCCCTTGGTGGGTAATTGTGCCATGAACCATTTGTAAAGCATTGGCACGCAGAATACCACTACTCCTTTCTTTCCATGCCTAGAGTGGATGTCATGGTAAGTGTCAGCTAATAAGGTAGGTATCAGATTTTTATTCATGAAAACACACAAAGAAGAAAAGTCTACTATCTCTTTAATCTCAGGGAATAGGATAACCCCATAAATGGTAGAAGCCAACAATGCATAATAAGCATCCCAATGTCCTATGTTTGCCATTTCTTTGGCCTTTCCTGCTATAAAATCTACTAGAAGACCACAAATGACTTTATTACGTCTCCATTTTCCTTTTACGTCGTTAAGGCTCAAATAAAGAGCCTTAGTAATGGCTTCATAGTCAGGCTCAACAGGGACCTGAGTGAATGGAGAATGACTAGTAATTTTAATGTGGAGAAGATGAGCATACTCCTCAAGAGTAGGTGCTAAATGTTAATCTTAAAATGTGAAACTACGTAACTCCGGATCATAAAACTGTAGCAAAGTTTGAACAACCTTATCATCAACCCTAGCATCCAACAAAGATAGGAGATTCCCATATCTTTCAACAAAAACACCCATATGTTGACAATTCATAATATCTCTGAGCTCTTCAAGAAAGGACCAAATACTAGGATGAAACTGGTAGCTGAAGTTATCCCTTTTGGTCTTCATGACGATATCAGTCTTGTTTGCCATTCTTAGAGGCGAAGAAAACTCTTGAAAAATCCAGGAAATGGCAATGCACATGCAGATTAATTATTGACATATATATATATATATATATATATATATATATATATATATATATATATATATATATATATTGAAAAGTAAATATGCCATGATGTAACATGAGGGGATCAAGGTTTCCACAATACTGGATGCTGTTGAACTGCTATATAGAATCATAGGTTAAATATTTGAGGTAGTCATCAATAGTAATCATCAAGCAAAGTATCACTTGAACCAGATTCACTAACTGAACTAGAGTCACCAACAGAACAAAGCGGTCACCATCAGAACATAGTCACCATCGGTACCTCTAATGATCAAGTCCCCCTACTCACGGGTGAAGACTAAGTCAGGGTAAGACAGGGGTAACTCAGAAATCGCTGATCCGCCTGAAAGTAAAACTCATCGCAACACAGACATGCATGATGAAGATACTTTCATTTGAACCTCATCCGATCATGGTATATGACATGACTGCACTAATCAGACCACGTCCTATAGCCCTCATGCCCCTACTCTATTCCTAGTGCACTCTGGCCTGGGTACTGGGCTTTTTACCTCAAGAAGTATCATCCCAACCCCATTAAGAAACAACATAACAACAATATCCAGAATATAGGAAATAATAAAATGCAATGTATGAAAGCATATAATTAAAGCATATAAATAAATATATACATAAACACCAAAGAAAAGAAAGTAAACAAACAAGATCTAGGATCGACTCCGGGATGGACCAGTTATAGGTCAACCTTGTCCTCCCTAGTGAAGTCGCTAGCTGAAACAACCTGCTGAACAATAAAATAATAATGAAATCAATGAAGTCGTCATCGAATGTTTTTTATCCTACAAGATGGGAAAGGTAAACATCTAGTAAACCGGAGAAGGTGATATCATGATCAAACGACCGAGAGATCGGGTAAGAGAGTCTGTTACGCGAGGAAAGGTATTGGCACCCCATACGCCCATAGTAATCTATTGTATCCATTCATGTTGTCTATCTTATGGGCGTGTTTCAAATCTATCTAAGTTGTAAAGGGAATGTATGCAAAAGAAAAAAGAAAACAATGTAGGGAAAATAAAATTGTGCTTGTTCGGGCCCTACCGCAATGCCTACGTATCCCATTTAAGGAATCAGAGCAGCTATAGTTCGGCTTCATATGTTTTTGTTGGTTCGTATCTTTTTTTTTTTGTGAACAATATTAATTTCGCCTTCTGCCGCAACTCGACCTTTGGAGACTTACGCATCAGCACAGAAGTGAATTAACATGTTCTTTTGAAAAGAGTTTCGCAAGAAAAGCCTAAAGGCAAAAGAGTTTGTATTTGTTGGTGTTTTGTTGTGGAAAACAGCTAATTGACCTCAAGAGAGATATTTTAACCACTTCTCCACTTATTTATGAAATAAGTCTTTGGGACTTGAACCATACCAAGGCTCATAATGGAAAAACAATAACATCGAGAAGAGTCACGCTTATCATTTTCCACACTCAACAAAGGCATAGTTCTCATCAGTAATATTTAGGTGTTTTCAAGTTTGCAAGAAAAAGAAGTTTTTTTTAATGAAAATTAAAAGGGGAAATAAAATTCTAAGGGGAGACTAACCTAAATCTATCTCTAACTTTATCATACAATGATTGATCCTAAAGTTGAGTTTTGAAGGGAAATATCTATCCTAAATTGACACGCTTGGATTACAACCTAAAGTTTATTTGACCTAATTTTAATCAACGGATTAAAATTGGACTAAAATTATAAAAGAGCATAATGGATATAAGAATAAGAACAAAATCACCCACAATTCGCATCAAGATAATTCCTCACTACGTAAAAAAATGAATTAAAACTAGTGGTTAAAAATTCCTAAAAAATAGAATTAGTAAGATGGAGAAAATAAATTCCTATTTAAATCCTAAATTCAAGTATATATTTTTTTATTGCCCCATTTTGACAGTTTTATTTATGTATTTTGTTACTAAAAAAATGAGGAATTAAAACTAAAGTAGAAGTCATAAAGAGAAAACCATAGAATCGGGGGTGGCAATCCAAATCCTTGGATATTATTTCATAATCAGGCACTAAGGCCCAGCTAACAAAGTCCAAGAGATCTTTTGGTTCTGAGACCAAAAAAAATCATTAACATGCTAAAATAAAAAATGGTACACGGGCTTAATGTTCAACAATCTACTACTTGACCTAGGATTGAGAGGAAAAGCCTGGCACAACAAGTGAAGAGTCTCATGTGACTCGGTCCACTTTCACTTTCCTCTCTCCCACCCTAATCCCGAGCTACCAAACTACTGCCCGAAATCACTACCGGCGGTGTTTCTCCATGAAAACAGAACAAAACCAACATCTCTTTGTTCCTCTTCTCTCCTTGAACTCAAACCCTAACCTCACTCCTTACCTCTATGCTAAAACCATCACCTCACCATAATAATTCAAAACCCTAAGAGATGAACAAGGACCAAATTAACTGAAAATCATGTTGAATTTGAAGCAATAGCAATAGGGTAATCATTCAGCATGCGTCAAGCTTCCCAATAATATCAAGAAATGGTTAAAATGATAAAGAAACGGAGGAGATCGAGGCTTACCTGCCAGAGACACCGCTGAGGTGTCCATATGCGGTGAAGGCGTTAAGAAAACTAGAGGATAATCTTCAGAAGCACAGGTATGAGTACTTTACTTAATTATTTGATTTTCAATCATTTCTCAATCTTCTTCCTCTGGTTTGTTTCTTTTTATTCTTTTACATTCTCTCGGCCTTTCGTTTCCTGATAAGAGCGAATAACCAAAATACTGAGAAATCAGTACTGTAGAGAATGCTCGGTGATTGTGGTATAAGGTATTGATGCATGATAAGAGTGGTCTGAGGTGTTGCGAAGGTTTGCAATATAGTTGAGGAATGAAGGCGAAGGTGGAATTTGAAGATGAAGGTGGAAATCTAAGAATGAAGGGAAGCTGAAGGTTGAAGGTAAATGTGGAAGTTGAAGAATAAAAGGAATCTGAAGATGTTGATTTCAGGAATTTGGTGAATGAGCCAAAACCGATCCCTTGAGATTAGAGGTGAGGTGAAGTTATATAGAGGTGTGGTTAAGGCTTGAAGAAATATGGGCCATTGGATGAGAAAAGTTAGTTAAGAAATCAAAGGTGAGATAGAGAGTTATTTACAGACTGTTAGAGCTGTTAAGAAATTGAAACCACCTTCTGTTATCAACTTTTGACAGTTTAGATTCCGTTAAAGGTTAGTTAGAAATTCTATTAAAAGTTAGGGGTTAGATAGAATTAACTAGGCCTGGCAGTTATGATTTGTTTAGTTTTTCTGTTATTGGATTATATGGTTCTATTAGAAATTTAGTTAGGGAGCTTTGTCCGCTCTGTTAGTTACTAGAATAGTTAGTTAGGAATTGGTTCTGTTAGTTAGTTAAGCGGTTAGAAACTTTGTTAATAGTTAGTCCTACTTTAAAATGATTTGATCTTTTGTTTCCTTTGTTCACTCTCCTTGGCCTGAATGTGTTAATATTTAACTGAATCATCCCATTGAAACTCATTTTTCCCTTTTTTAGGCTTTACTGGACTGGACTGCAACTTTTAATATTTCAGAGTTATTGAATTTTTGTGAATTTCTTAATGCGCTTATGTTGTAGATGTAACAGGTCCATTGCCTAAGTTACTAACACTTCCACTAATATCGGTTGTATTAACCATGGTGAAGGTCGAAAGGATACCATCCCTTTGTTTCACAAGCTCATCTACAGACTGTTTTTTCTTTTGCATATCTGTTTGTAACTTCTTGATTGCGTGCCAATGCCTTTCTATACTTTGTTTCGGATTGGCGAAACTCATTCCTTTTTTTTTAATTTGAGCCTCAATATCCTTATGTTTTTCGGTGGTATTTCCAAGTGTGTCTGCACATACTGATTCAATTGTATAGCTAGCTGTCTTAAAGAACTTATCTCCATAAACAACGAATATATGCGTGCCAGGCTTTAGTTCCGATAATTCACAAGGTTGAGGACCTTCCAACCTTTTAAAGAATGCCCATTCAGTATCCTTTGCCATTGCTAATTCATTCCCGGTTGAATACACTTTGCACACTTAAATATATAAGAAATACATTCCTGCAGATATCACCTTCCCATTCTTCTCACTATATTCCTCCAAGGCTGAACCATAGCCACCGTTTGCAACTTGTTATAAATATAACAACTTGAATTTGCTTCGTACATTTGAAGTAACTCTAACTACAATCTCTGACTGAGCTTGCTGCTCACCTATTATCACACCCAAAAAAAAGAGCACATTGCTTCTCTACCTTTCCACTAACTGATGTTCCAATTGGAAGGGGTCTGTCAGTAACTGTTCCATTCAAAACCTCTTCAAGAACATTAGCTGAAATGGTTTCAGATTTGAATGAAATTGAGATTTAGTTCTGATTATATTTTTTGTTAGTTAATTGTTAGTGTGAGAAAGAATTAGAATAGGCAATACTGACAGGCCCTGATTGTCAGGAACATCAATAAATGGATAATTGTTAGCTTAAAGATGTTTAAAACATTTTTATGTGAGGGATTAGGTTTATGAAATGGATGTTTAAACTTACTTGAATGTATGTGATTGACTAAATCAGTTTTGCTATGCATTAGCCTTTTTTTATTTTCTGAATGAATGAACTGTTTTTTCTACTTTTTAATGCTGGGCTGTTTTATGTTGTAGAATGACTGAACTAGTTCTCTGGATGCAAGTTATTTATTTGGTGCCACAAATTTTATGATTGATTGGAACTTGGTGATTGAATTGTACAGGGTTGTCTTGACATAATTTAATTGGCTCTTGGAGCTCGGGGAAAACTTTTGAAGGGAGCAAGAGAAGATTAGGTCATGAAGATGAAACGAAGCAGCTTGAAGACTTGAATAATAGGTTTAGGATCAGGCTAAGAACCAAAAAAATTGTGTAATTGTGAAAGTAATTGGATGGAACTTAGATGCTGGATGTATTTGAAATTTATCTTTTGATCTGAACTTGAATGAGCTACCATGCTTTGAAATGTTTTATTTATATTTTATAATGGAGACTTTGATTTCAAATTTGAATTACTTTCCCTCGATTATGCTTGTAACTTGAATGAAACAATCATAAATTTAAATGGAACCTTGGCTAAAAGTTAACTTTCCCAAATTGATGTTGACCTTTATCTTGGGGCGCCTCGCTTCATAACATGAATCCATTTTGATATCTTATGAAGAATTGAATCCAAATCCAGTTATATGTCATGCCTAGATTTTAATAATGGGAGATGAATTAAGTGAACTTGAAGATGGAAACTTGAACTACATGAATCTTCCAATCTTATCTTGAATCAACCATTGACAAATCATGAAATCGAGATCTTGAACCAAGACTAATCTCAAGCACAATTAGAACTTTCAATGAATCCAAATTGACGTCCCATTTCTTTTGAGATCCTAGTTAACTTGTAATTGAAGCAACAAGTGTTTGAAAGAATGGTGATTGTTTGAACTCAATGAACTCACAACTTCATCTTCTATACCATGGCTTGCATTTTGCAATCCAATCCACACTACATCTTGACCTTATGGATAATAATAATGCCTTGAGGGCGCCTTGCAGTATAGAAAGAAATGTAATATGAAGCTCAATGAACCTTGTGTTTGATGAATTCTTGATGAAGGATGACCTTATATCTTGTTGAAGAAAATACCCACAACATCCACAAAACCCTAATTCCATAATTTCACTGCCTTGAAAAATAACCAGAACAATCAAGCTTTATTGAACATATACACCTCAGTCAGTTGTAAAAATCCTAGCTTGGAAGCCCACTGAACATTTGAAATTCAAGCGCTTATTTTTTGAATGAAAATGCATGTTATGTTAGTAACCTAATAAAAGATATGAATGCGATGTTAAGCCTAAGCTAAATATAAGTGCAATTCGGAGGTGAAATTTGTGCGTGCAACAACAGGCAACTGTTTCCTCAATGAATATGTGCTAAATAAAAGAAATTATGACATAGTCTTGCTCAGATGCGTGGATAGGCACGAAGCAGACATGTTGATGCATGAAGTCCATGAAGGTTCCTTTGGTACTCATGCCAATGGACATTCGATGGCGAAGAAGATGCTTAGGGAAGGCTATTATTGGTTAACAATGGAATCCGATTGTTACAAATTTGCAAAGAAATGCCATAAATGCAAGATTTAGGCTGACAAAATTCATGTGCCTCTAACGTTTCTCAATGTTATGTCTTCCCGATGACCTTTCTCTATGTGGGGTATTGACATGATTGGAATGATTGAACCAAAGGCGTCAAATGGACATTGTTTCATACTAGTGGAAATTTACTACTTCACCAAATGGATGGGAGCAGCTTCGTATGCTAATGTTACTAAGAAGGTGGTAGTACGTTTCATCAAGAACAACCTCATATGTCGGTATGGTGTGCCAAGCAAGATTATCACTGACAACGGCTCAAATCAGAATAATAAGATGATGACATAACTTTGGGAAGAATTAAATATTGTCCATCACATTTCATCTCCCTATAGGCCAAAGATGAATGAGGCCGTTGAAGCTTCCAATAAAAACATCAAGAAGATTGTTCAGAAGATGGTGGTCACTTAAAGATTGGCATGAGATGCTCCCCTTTTCTTTACATGGGTATCGAACATATGTCCGCACTTCAACCGGGGCAACCCCTTTCTCTCTTGTGTATGACATGGAAGCAATGCTCGCCGTCAAAGTTGAGACTCCCTCTTTACGCGTGATAATGGAAGCCAAGTTGACAGAGGCTGAATGGATCCAAAACAGGTTCGACCAATTGAATTTAATTGAAGAAAAAAGAATGACAGTTTTGTGTCATGGTCAGTTGTACCAAAAGATAATGAAGAAAGCTTTCGATAAGAAGGTCAAACCTCGTGAATTCAGAGAAGGCGACCTCGTGCTCAAGAAGATCATGTCTTTTAACACTGATTCTAGGGGCAAGTGGACTCCTAATTTTGAAGACCCATATGTTGTCAATAAAGCCTTCTCTGGTGGTTCTTTGATTCTTGAAACAATGGATGGCAAGGAGTTTCCACGTCTCGTGAATGCTTATGCAGTCAAGAAATACTTCGCCTAGAAATAAAAAAGAACAGATTGCTAAGACGAAAACCCGAAAGGGCGACTTAGGCAAAAAAGAGCGTCCCGGTAGGCTGAAAACCCGAAAGGGAGGTCTAGGCGAAAATTAGAGACATAAACAGAATAAAATTTTCCCAGTAGGGTGAAAACCCGCAAGGGAAACCTAGGCAAAAGTTTGGGAATTTCTGGCAAGTAATTGCATCAGACAATACTTGATCATTAAAGTAACAATCTTCTTTGATTTTCACTACTATTCAACCAAAGTCTCTACTCAGGAATTCAAAGTTGTTAAGAGAAAATAGTGGTCATTGTATCTCAATGAATCTTTTCCAATGTATATTACCATTTTCCAAACTTTATAATTATCTATGGAATCTTACCATTCGCAGAATACCATCCTATTTATAAGGTTTGAGCTTTTATCAAATTCCTTGCAATTCTTACTTTATTCAGCTTACAAAGACTTTATTTATTATTGATAGTAATGATCAAAGCAAACAGATTAAATAACAAAATTATTTTTGAAAAGAATTTTCAAATTACACATTGCTTTAGATTTTGTGACGCAAAGATAACAAAAACAGAGACTCTAGGGATGGACAAACCCAGAAGTTTTAAAAGTTTGTTTTCCCCGGGAAATTTCTCCCAGGGTATTTTTTGGGTTGAGTATGTTCTTCACGTTTTTCTTCTCAGATAATTGAAGACGATACCAATCGATGTATGGTGCGGTATTGGGTTTGGTATCCCATATTTCCTAACCAAGTCTTGGTTTATTTTAATTTCGGGTTTGCATGATATGAAGACTCTATCCCGGATACCCCCATGAGGTTTCATACTTTCTCCATAGAGAAGTTGGTACAATACTCACTCTCAATATTGAAGAATGTATCTTGGTGTTACCCTCCTTAGTGAAGTCAATATGAGATCCTCAGCTGATGTATCGACAATGTAGTATTGTTTTCTCCGGTGAAATCAGCATTGCAATCCCCAACAGAAGTGCAGACCTAGAAGCATTTTATTTCCCCATTGAAGTCTGTATGGTTTTCCCGGGTGAAGCCTGGAGGAGGATGGTATATCCATGTATCTGTCCTGATTGATTGTTATGATTTGATTACTTTCGGATTATGTTCCTTCCCATTGAAGTTAAGTTGTAAAATGGGAATTTGCTTCCTCAGTTGGTGCTTAATTTCTTATGAAGTTTTAATCCTGGATGCAATTTATCCGAGTATTGAGTATACCCGAGTTAGTTTTGTCTGGTTATTCCTCAATTTTGTATGTTTGTTTTGTCAACATATACATGATAACATTCATACATTTATACATACATCATGCATAGTTTAATTTAGAAATTCATTGCTCATTTGCATTAATTATTATTTTGTTGGCATATTACCGTATTTGCAGAGTTATGATTATCTTCTCTCCAATAGAGTGACAACCTTAAGCAGAAAGTGTATATCCTTTCAATCTCCCCACTGAGTTATCCCTCGTGGAAGAATTTTGCTCTAACTTCCCTTTCAACTTTCTGTCTGGATAGAATGTGATTCCCCTTTGAGTTTATTTCTCATGAGGAGTTATTTTGGTTGACTGTTTAATTCCAATTTATTTCTGGTTTGAATCTATGATCCTTAGCAATATTATTACTTTTGATTTCTGTAAGCTTTGAACCTTGGTTTGAGAATGTGCATTTATTTTGCACAAAGAAGACTTTTTATCCTCAGCAGGAATATATTGGCACTTCCGCAGGAAGCCATATTTCTTTCCCCGAGAAATCATTTTTACAACTCCTTCTCATAACAGCAAGTATCAGGTCTCTTTATTTGAGCAACACGTACTTCCCCGGTAAGTCTGTTATATACCAAAAAAGATCCAGATTTGTTACTCCAATGGATGCAAGTCCTTTCAATACGATAAAGAAAGTTTGTTGTGAAATCTTTAGAAGTGGTAGCCTCTTTATTTGAGATAACTTATGTGTTACCCTTTCCAGGCATAATGCCTTGGTTAAGGAAGAAGCTGACACCCGTTCCAGGAGAAACGTCAGAATTTTGGGAAGTTTGTTATTATCAATATGTTAGCTCACCTTCAGTAAAAGTTGGTGTTTTCTATCTTTCTAACTTCAGTAAAAGTTGGTGTTTCCTCTCTTTACCTTCAGTAATAGTTTGTAACTCACCTTCATTAAAAGTTGGTGTTTCCTCTCTTTACCTTCAATAAAAGTTGGTAACTCACCTTCAGTAAAAGTTGGTGTTTTCTCTCTCTTTTCCTTCAGTAAAAGTTGGTAGCTCACCTTCAGTAAATGTTGGTGTTTTCTCTCTTTACCTTCAATAAAAGTTGGTAGCTCGCCTTCAGTAAAAGATGGTGTTTTCTCTCTCTACCTTCAATAAAAGTTGGTAGTTTACCTTCAGTAAAAGATGGTGTTTTCTCTCTCTACCTTCAGTAAAAGTTGGTAGCTCACCTTTAGTAAAAGATGGTGTTTTCTCTCTACCTTCAGTAAAAGTTGGTGTTT